GAGTGTGGGTGGTGTTAGTGTGCGTGTTCGCGTGGATGCGTGCCTGTGAGTGAGTGTGGGTCTCAATGATCTGAAAGCTGAGATTTGCATCCACATCTATAGCAACACCCACACTCACATCCACGTCCACACCCTGAAAAAATGAGCATTCAAGGCCATAATCGGTTTATCGCCATATTGTTAAGAACTAATATTGTTTTAATAGATTTTAATATATCGAAAAATGTTCATGGAATGCCGATATTTGTTTTTTGTGCTGCTTACTCATACCATCATTGCTGACAAAACGAATTGGTACCAAATGAAAACCTCATTCGGATATATCACTATGGATAATGGTGGTTGGGCAAAGCCGGTTGAAGATGGTCAATCGCCTACATTATTCCAAGAGTATTTTAGTAAGGGCCGTATGTATATAATGGTCATGTCCGGCAAGTATGCAGGAGATTATCTTGGTGGACATTATGACAAGGGTGTTGGAGCTTGGTCAAAAAAGAGCGATGGAGGATATATGTCATGGCTCGGTTGTGAACTTGTGTCTGAAAGTGATAAAACTGCTCATTTACGCATGAGATATAATCCGAATGGCAAGTTTTATTTTTATTACGATAAAGAGCCGTATGCCTACGTGTGTGTAGAGAAGGTATATCCTTATAGTGTTACACAAGCACCTGGAATACGTGTCTGTAAAGCAAACAAAATAGTTGGTAGTTGGGCATATCTGAACACAATAGCTGGAAAAACATCACTCACGCTGAAGCATGGAACAACCAAGCGACACGAGGAGTCAAAAACAACAGATTGGAGTCATTCTGTTTCAACCGCAATGCACACTTCTTTTTCAGTAGTACCCTTTATGCAGAACACTGGGATAAGTGTTACTTACGACTTTAAAACATCTGCTACTGACGCTTACAAAAATGAATGGACTACATCGAAAGAAGAATCTTGGACAGTGGAATTTGGTCAGGAAGAAAAAGGAAAGTCATTATGGCAGTTTATACTGGCAATAAAAGACGATTGCGGACATGAGGAGCGGACCCTTCTGCGAGAACATGCACTTACAAATACGCAATCAGATCCACCATGCTGCTTGCCTGGTTTTAGCACAGATGCCCCTTATTATAACACTTGCGTGTCGGAAGAATATCTGTTGGAAAAAAATCGAAAGGGCTGTGTTGTCGCTGGACGTGAAAAAAAAAGACATCATATAATGACAATTGAAAACGCATAGGAATTGTTTGCCATACGATGAACCGATATTGTCATTACATCCTGCCGATGCTTTTGTCCTCTTCCCTTTCGATTTGGTGTGTGTTAGTCCATCTATTGAAGAAAATGTATTGACTACGTGTGTCTGTGAGTTTCCTCTGTACCAACACATTTCTCTTAATTATTTAGTTTTCAATATTTAAAATACAAATGTTTTTAGCGTCCATGAATTCAAAGGTCTCATTTGAAAAACTATGCGCTTTCCGTAAAGTTTTATCAAAAGCAATCAGAGTCGATGAATTCACTTGCGTTACCGTTTTTCGAAACTTTCAAGTTCCAATGTAAAGACAGGTTTGATGTTAGCGTAGTTTAATTGATTTAATGAAACTTAATGAGAGTATCAAAGAAGAACTAACCTAGTATTCTATATTAAAGTGAAATAGCTCATGTCACTTTTTGCTTAAGATGTAAAGTGATAGCATTAGACTTAATTTCAACTTTATGCTAACTATCTTGAGGGTGAGGATGGGGTGTGTTTACGAATGAGACTAGGAATGAGATTGATTCAGGGTAATCGTACGACATGTTTCAACGTGTACTAAAAGTTATCATCAGGTACTTTTAGAATCAATTTAAACTACATTAATTAGTCATGAACAATATGAAAGTTTTTGAATAGAAAATAAGGCTAAAGATTGAAATCATCACACGATATTTCGTCCTTGCTTGCAAATGTCATTGTTTTGATAAGTTTCATTAAATATAAATTTTAAGATGCAGATACTAATGACATTTTTTTTATTTACGGTTTGTTGTGATGGTTATGATATTGTTGTTAGTCGTGTTAATAATGATTGTTGAGATTGGAAGTCGATGCATGTAATTAGAATGTATCTAGAACAAATGGAAATTTAGTACAAAAAAATTGAATAATTACAAGAAAAAAACCTCATTAAATAATATGATCAGTCTAAATATTGGTTATGAGAAACAAAGTGATACAAAATCGTATTATGATTCTTTATATGTTTGATGGCTCCATTCGTGTTAGTATTTCACGTGGATGACGGTGAAGGTGAATCAATTGAAAAACAGACTTACTTATCTTTTGAAGAAAAGACCGATCAATCTACTGTTTCCAACTCTTGCTTTTCAGCAATCAACTAACAATGGAAGGTCTGGAATTGCTGAGCAGTAAGATTGACATTGTTCGGGTGAAATGATTACTCTCATCGAGAAACTAATGTATTTAAAATATAAGCTGCTGATGTCGTACCTGGACAGAAATATTCAACTTTTATATTATGCATTATTTGGGTATAGAAGCAGGATGTGGTTGCGAGTGTGGGTTTGACTTTAGCTGTGACTGTGGACTTTATTAAAGATTACACCCACCAAGAGTAAACAAAATCGAATAAACCAATATGTCAGGAATCTGTAAAATTAGGAAAAACAATTTGTAAATCTCTAATAGTATCTCATATATTATTTTGTTTGATTTTTTTGCACTATAATTAAAGATTTAACTAGCTAGTAATATTTTAATACCTAGATTAGGTAATAAAAGTCAAAGACTAACCACTTGATGTATTTCATCAATATGAGGCAGCGTTAGAATAGTGTGAAAGTCTTGTTTCGTTTGGACCAACAAAAAAATCAACTTGACTGAGTTTACGAAAACTTTGCATGTAGGTTTTTACGATGTGTCCAGTTTGAGTATATACTTGTGTAGTAAGATTTTCGATCCTGAATAATTTACTGGAATAGCGCCCAAAATAGTTATCAACTGATACTGGTTCATTTTCAAAATCTCTTTCGTGCTTCCACATTAATTCTTTCATTAAAATCTTTACGAAAAGCATCATAATCGTTTCCTTTACCGGAAGCTAAAGATTTTAGATACGCTTGACGCTGTCCTTTGGGAAGTCTTTGCTAGAAAATAAAAAAATCTAATTTTAAAACATAAATAAACAGAAATTAACAATACCATATTTGTATTAATAGCTTCAGTAATTGAAGCAATATCATGAGATGAATTCACTTTTCCAACAAATTCAGGATCATTAGTGGTTTCTATCTGTATTAGATATAGACTTGTGAGCCTTTTTCGCCTCGATGCATAATTTTTTTCCTAACATTTTTTACTATTGTGTAGAGAATCAAAAGTTATACAATATATCAAATATTCAGCTTGGGGAGTTTTATCTTTACAAATTCGTAACGAATATACTATCAAAAATTGACATTTTGGATTCATCAATTATCAACCACATTCACTTTCGATAAGAAAACTAGCACATCAATCAAAATTTGACGAACAATAGTTCATATAATAAAGTATATGATTTGTTTTATTAATTAGCAAAATATTTATAGATTATTTAATAATATTTCATTAGTTCATTTGTAGAAAATGTCGTATACTTATTATGAATCGATTCATGAAATTAATAAATTCTTTCTTATATGTTTTTGATGCTTGTACAAAAATGATAAAAACAAGAGTAAATGAGATAAAAGATGAATATAGACCAAATAGAAATAGATATGGTTCACGTATAAATTTCATACAACCTGAAAAAAAAAGAAATAATTAGACGTGGTAAAACTAAAATAATTCATATAATAGGACTAATTAATATATGTTGAAGTTCATGAAATTGTTTTTGAAGATGCTGTTTATAAGATAGATGTACTCGAATTGTTGAACGTTTTCGAGCTACTGTGATGTTGATAACAAGAGCCGATATGACACTAATGCAGAAAGGAATAATACAGTGACAAAAATCTATAATCAAATTATATATTCGAATAAAGTCAGAATAATTAACCATACACTATGTACGTTGTTCTTCGATGTCATAAAAAAGACATCGATGAATTGTGGTAGAAATTATAAATATGAAAAGTATAATAATCATTCGTTTGGCTTTAGATTTGTCTTCTACTTTTTGAAAATAAGCCCTTTTTTTAAATAGTTATTTCTCGTTCTAATGAAATACATGCATTAAACCAATCATGAAAACGAAGAAAACCATGACAAGCATATCTACACATGTACATTGAATAAATAAAAATGAACGATTAGAAATTAAAGACATTTGTACAAAAATAAGTAACCCAAACTTGACAGTTAACATACTTATACTAATCGGTGAAATAATTGATAAAATGAAAACATAAAATCCATATGTTACTTGTCTAATTTTAGCAGTTCTAAATGTCATACTTGAAAGAAATCCATTCATGACACCCAATATAAACATGATCATAGTAATAATTGCAGAAATTTTAATAACATTTGACTGTTGAATAAGAGTAGCATAAGGTCGAATTAAATTTCCAAGTATAACATCAAGTCATAAACGTGTACCTTCGTCATTAATTGACACCGAGTCTCATAATAACATTCCGTACATGCACATAAATACTTAGTAGGACAAATATAATTATCTTGAAAACATTGATCATCATTCAAACAGTAATTAACACCTTGACAATTATAAGTCATATTATGATGAAATTCAAATCTTTCTTCATCACATAGACACATGAATATTATCACAAAAACAGATTATATCAGATTGTTGTTGACAAGGCAACTGATAATATTTAAATACGTTGTACTAAATGTAATTTAACTATAGCAGAATTTAATAGATGTTCAATAGGTTGACTTCGTTGGAAAGCAATTAAATTAATATGAATATTATTTTTTTGATAAGATTTCGTTTTTTTTAATAGTATGCAAAAAATAATTATCTTCATGAATACGTAGTAACCATATTTTAATGAAATAAAACTTTGATAAATGTTGTTGTACGTTCATGAGGTTTATCACCTGGTGCATAAATAAAATGTATTAAGAATGATAATAGAATTTCGGTGTCATAAAAAGAGACTATAATCTTTCTATCAGTTGTATCACATTGTTTATTAGAATAGCTTTCTTTACAAATACAGTACCATTGATTATTCATGCTACGTTCATCGAATAGTATACATTGTCCAAAATTTTTACAAATATCTTTAGAACAAATAGATTGCGTTAATGAACATTGTCCACCATATTTTCCAAGTGGACATACGTATACATATATTTGACCCAATGTAAAATGAATCGGATGAACAATTATATGTTTCATGTTTGATAGAACATTGTGAGCCTGACTAACCTGGATCACATTGACAAAAATCTATTTTTGTATTCTCATATTTTTTTTTACATTGAAGCGCGTGCATTTTGCAATTTCAGAAATAAATATTGGAACAATTAATTGAATTGATAAACAATGAACAGGCAAAAATAAAAACTCAAGCGGATATAAACAACTAGTATGATGCTCTAAAAATTTCGCATTAAATGCATCTATATGAACAGAATAATTCTTTGTAGTATCTTTTGGTCGAGTTGAATACAATAGATATATATTAAATTTTTTACTACCATCTCGAATTTCTAAATAATTAAAATGTTCATATGAATTAATTTGATCTTCTTTATCAATTAACAAAATAACAATAGTAAATACCATATGAAAATCAGCCATTGCTTGTATCTGCAAAGTAAGACTAACATGTTGATTTTGATATTGACATTGAACTCCATAATAACTAGGTGAACATAGACATATGAGTTTATCATACTTAGTTCGAATAGGAAGACCTCGATCACATCGCCATATTCGAAAATATTTCAGTATTTCATTGTCATATTTTATAAGATGACTATTTGATAAAAATTTATTTTCTTCTAATATATTATTTGAATCATGATGAGTTTTCATATTCATTTTATTGAAATATAATAAAAAATAGATAATTGACTTCTTTGAGTTATCGTTTAAACCACAAAGAAATATTTCAACATCCGTACGAACTATATCTAATAGAGTATCATAAAAAAAACTTTATAGTAAAATTACGTTCAAGACAAAATATTTCATCATCATAAAATGAACAAGTTGGCTTTCTATTGCAAAGCATATTAGATTTAATACACATGGTTTCTGGATTAGTACGATTTCGACATGGAAATCGACAGTCAGCGCAATCGAGTGCATGTATTCGACATATTTGACGTTCATCAGATCCTACAATACCATCATTTACCTTTAATATTTGTATACATGTAAAGTTATTTGTTATTGGCGAAACACACATATGATGTGATGGTGAACAGATTGATATTGAACAATTAATTTCATTACTTCCATCTAAACAATTCCATATTCCATTACAACGTGCATATACATTATTACATGACCATAGATGACCATTAGTCTCATCCGATTCATATTTGTCATTAATCACAATAAATGATAATTCCTGAAAACCATCACATATTATTTGAAATGAAATATGTTCTTTCGATTTTTTAATATCAGATAATATTTCATCATCATTTGTTAAACAATCAGTTTTAAAATCATTTACTAATATCCATGATATACAACGATTATCCATAGAACAATTAAAACGATGTTTTTGATTGAGAGAACAACTTTTATTAAAAATTTCATCATCATTTAAACAACAAGCTTGGTTACCATCGAGTAAACAATACTTAGAAATACATGTTAAACTATTGGAACATTGATACAAGGATGAATATAAACAAGGAGTTTTATTAGTTAGTTTCTTATTTATTAAATAACCTTGAAAAAACTTTTAATTGGTATTAAAAGATCATTAGTTTCTTTTTAAAATCAAATTCAGAAAATAATATACATATCGAATTATTAAATAGATCAATTTCAACTATTGGAAAAGAATGTTCACATAATTGTTCTTCATAGCATACTAATTCAGGTAATGAAGCATATCGAGAATTATAATCAGATTCATTGTTTGTATAGACGAAAAACACATGATTAGAAAAGATATACATTAGAAGAAATTGAAAAAGACTAGGACACTCTTCTCTTACGATTTTTACACATGAAATTTCAGTACAAATACTATGACAGGAAATGTCATCTAAACGAATTCGACTATGACTTAGACAAGTCATAGCACGAGTACAATTATTCACTAACAAATACATAGGAAGATAAGAAATTGATCGTTCATTTCTACATTGACCATCACCACATGAAAACATTAATTCAGGGTGTGGATGTGGGGTGTGGGTGGGTGCGGGTGTGGGTGCAGGGTGAGGGTATGGGTGTGGATGTGTGGGTGTGGGTGTAGGTGTGGGTGCGGGATGAGGATGTGGGTGTGTAGGTGCGGGTGTGGGTGTGGGTGCGGGATGATGTGGGTGTGGGTGCGGGATGATGTGGGTGTGGGCGTGGGCGTGGGTGTGGGTGGGTGTGAGTGTGGGTGTGGGTGTGGGTGTGGGTGCTGGATGAGGGTGTCGGTGTGGGTGTGTGTGGGTGTGAGTCTGAGGGAAGAGAAACGCCACACCCACACCCACACCCCACACCCACATCGACACCCACACCACACCCACACCCACACCTCACACCCACACCCACACTCACCCACACCCAAACTCACCCACACTCACCCACACTCACCCGCACACCCACGCCCCACCCACACCCACACACCCACACTCCACACCCACCCACACCCACACTCCACATCCACACACACCCACACCCACATCCACACACCCACACCCAGAGAATACTCAGATTCAAATCGCTTTTCACAGTCATCAGGTCATCAAAGGTCCCATATAATACCATGATTTTGTTTTCTTCACTTGCAACAAAGATAAATGTAACAGTCCAGAAAAATATAGATGCTATGATGCAAATCTTGAGGAATGCCAATGCAGGAGACGGTCGATATGGAGGATGGGAAACAAACTTCTCTACGAAAACTATTTTTATTTCCTTTTTTATTGTTTTCGCTATTTTGACTAGTTTTGCAAATTTTGAATAAAGTATAACGATGAGCTCACGAAATAGTTCCACACTCTTTACCAGGATTTTTTCGCACGGGGCTTACTCCACTCATCTTTAGGTAAATTTATAAGAATAGTGTATACCGAAAATTACTGTATAATCCGCGGAAGAAAGAAACTAATTAGCAAACTGTTGCAAACTGTTATCCATCGCAGCCATTGAGAGTGTAGGTGTGGGGTGGGTGTGGATGTGCTGTGAGTGTCTGAGTGGGGGTGGATGTGGGTGTGGGTGTGTGAATGAAATACTTATACTAAGCACACCCACACTCACACACCCACACCCATCCACACCCACACACTCACACCCACCACCCTACACCCACACCCACCCCACACCCACCCACACCACACTCACACCCAAGCCCACATCCACACCACCCACACCCACACCCCACACCCACATCCAACACCCACACCCCACACCCACACCACACACCCACACCTCACACCCACACCCGCACTACACACCCCACACCCACACCCTCAGGGTAGTTTTTGCGAAGAAAAAATTAAATCAAATTGCGTTGCTGGAAAGATAGCGGTATCAGTTTTCTCCAACAATGAGGCAGTACACAGATTCGAGAACAAAAAGAAAAACGTAAACGACGAAATAGATAAAAAAGAAGGTTACTTGGGTTAAATGGAATACAAGCACTTCGTTTTTCTCTTCTGATTATCTAGAACATTCTGTTTTTATCAGTTTCATGTGACCACTGTTCTATTTTTTATGTTGTTTTAATGTCTATTTGATATTCTTTACCATATGGTCTCGAACATTATATGTTGATCAGAAGAATACATTTAATATTTTATGGAAGCAGAATTAAGATAAATTATTCAGACGAGCCACATCAAGTCCATAGTGGGAAATGAGCAGTTGTATCAATTTGTTCACAACTAAATAAGTCTCTAGAATGCTACGTGGGACAGTCGCATTTCAGATACTTATTAATACTTTCATTTCTATTCACACGACAAGAGCAGAAAAAACGTAGAGCCCATCGCTACGACTTGCTTGAACTCGACTGAAGTCATTCTATTCATTTTAAGAATTATTATCATATAGATAAATGTTTAG